AGTTTTTTTTTAAAAGGTTTTCTGTGCATTAAGGCCTTGTATTGATGGTTTTTTAGAGGGATGTAGGCCATACATTAGTATAGACAGCACTGCTTTGAATAGCAGATGGAATGGTCACTTAGCATCTGCTACAGCTGTAGATGGACATAATTGGATGTATCCTCTTGCTATTGGGTTTATAGATTCAGAGACATAGGATAACTGGGAGTGGTTCATGAGTCAGCTTCATGCTGCCATAGGAGATGTTTAACCCTCTAGCTGTATGCACTGATGCATGTAAGGGGTTGGAGAAGGCTGTGCATACTGTTTTCAAACATGCTGAGCAGAGGGAGTTCTTTAGGCATTTGATGAAGAATTTTATGAAGAGGTTTGGAGGAGATGTACACTCACATATGTACCCAGCTGCTAGGGCATATAGGAAAGAGATTTGGCAAATGTACATGAAGGAGGTTATTGGTTCTTGCAGTGAAGTTCTCCCTTGGCTTGAAACCTATCATCCATTGAAGTGGATGAGGAGTGGTTTCAACCCAGAGATTAAGTGTGATTACATAACTAACAACATTGTAGAGGTTTTCAACAACTGGATTAAGGACTATAAAGCACTACCAATTTGTGACCTTGCAGACAAGTATAGGGTGCTATATGGTTCTTTGGAATAAGAGGAGGAGGATTGGAGAGAAATTAACTGGCAAGATCCTGCCTACAGTTACACAGCAACTGAAGGCTATGACTAGGGGTTTAGGTCACCTTTCAGTAGTGAAAGCTGATTCCTTAACTGCAGAGGTTGTTGATAACAACAATAGTAATGGCAAGCATGTTGTGAAGGCATACAATAAATATTGCTCTTGTGGGGAATGGTAGCACACTAGAAAACCATGTCAGCATGCATTGGCATTGATAACAGCACAACAGAGCAGAGATGTCAACATTGAGGACTTTGTCAATCCTTATTACTCAGTCCAGATGTTCAAGAATGCCTACAAGAGAGTTATAGAGCCACTTGGTGACAAGTCTTACTGGCCATAGGTTGAGATGCCATGGGTGCTAGGTGCACCTTTACCTAAGAAGATAGCAGGAAGAAACATGATGCTTAGGATCAAAAGTTGTCTCGAAAGTGGCAAATCTAAATCCAAAGCTGGTACATCTAACACTGAGCCAGGAAAGAGGGTGCTGGTAAGGGGCAATAGAAGGTGCAAGGGCTGTGGAGAATTGGGACATGCTCAAACTAGCTACAAGTGTTCACTTAATGGAACAAAAACAAGGCTAGTTCACTAACTCAAAAGTCATTGCATTAAGTATTTTTTATAACATGTTAAAATAATTTGCCTTGTAACTTGCAGGAAGAGGAAGCCAAGGAGAAACACTACAAAATATTGTACTAGTTCTCATATTCCTAGTCCCAAAAGTCCTTGTGTGCAACAAATAATTGAAGAGAGCCCAGGAAGAGTCACAAGAAGGTACCTTCATTGTATTTTATTAAGTACCAATATTTCCATATTGCTGAGTAACAAAAATGTAACTTTATTAATGCTTGGAGCCGGCTAGCAATGCTCATGATGGGAGGACAAGCAGCCACAGCTTCTCAGCCACAAGCAGCCACAACTTCTCAGCCAGAAGCAGCCACAACTTCAAGTACCCAGCCTACTAACAGCTACTCTCAGCCCATCAGGTCTCTAAGGAGGAAGCTGACGCCAAAGAAGAAGCTTCAAATTTGACTATGTTGGGAATCAGCTGCAAGTTATCATTTTGCTATCACTATCTTATGTCTAAACCTGTAATGTCTGAATCTTAGTCTGTAATATCTGAATGTTAGTCTGTAATGTATGAATCTGAACCTATCTGAATTTGGACCTAAACCTGTGTCCTTTTGTGATATGGCTGGATTTGGATCTGTGTCTGAATTTATTTATTGTTGCTTGTTGCCAAATCTAACTTGTTGTCTTGCTGAAATCTGCCAAATCTGAATGGGTTGCTTGTTGATTGCTGCCAAATCTGACCTGTGTCTGAATTTGTTGCTTGTTGCTTGCTACCAAACCTGAACCTGTCATTTTTGTGTTGTCTCATGTCTGAACCTGAACCTGAATATATGAGCAATGCATAAAAAAAATGCTGACACAATTTTCTAACAGTGTTTCCAAATTAATTCAGTGTATGTCAATTAACACAAAGGTGGAGAAATTAGATATTGTGCCATTCCCAAAAACTGGAAACATTGGTTAAAACACAGTTTTGCCATTGCAGCTGGAGTCACTTGATACTGCCTGCTACCATTTAACCCTAATAACTGGATACATTGCAGCTGGATTACATCACTTCAGTGCCATCACAAACACACATACAAGCACAAAAACTAGTGCGCTCAGTTCATGAACACTAATATTTGCATCAACCTAGCTAGCTTTTCAATTTTTGCATCAGTAACCGAATTTGGCCTCTTCTCAGCAATATCTGCATCCATAGGCATTGCAACATCATTTACGGCCTCATCAGGATAATTAAGCTCCATTGCTTCCACCATCTTCTTATAGCTCTCAACCCACTTAAAGAATGTACAACATTTTGGCACCTATAAAATTGCATCTAGACCAATTTAAAACCAAAAATGAAAACAAATCAAATGCACAAAATAAATCAAAGACTCAGAAATTTTTCGTTATCCTCGCATTTGAAGAAAATGCATATAATCTAAAATATTCTTTTAATCATACACTGCCTCGTATGGTCAAGTCCACACAAAATAGAGTCATTGTGTACACTTCTCCAAATAACAATTAAAATATGTTTATTTTCTAATATTATTTCCATATAATGTGTTATCAAGAATAATAGCTACACTTCACAAAAATAGTCTGATAATTGCCTACAAACATGTGTAGGGTCTCCAATACAGGAGAATAGATGACGAAACACAAGTCGTGTAGGAGATAGAAAAAAATCGATGGATCCTATCTGACCAAGTGTCCATCAATTTAGCTTTTTTTCTAAGAGTTTTTTCCTCGTATGCTTTTTTTTTTGCTTTTTTTACATACGATGGAAATATTTTTCTCGCGTGTTTTTTTACGGACTACGAAACTTTTCTTCTAGCGCGTTTTCTTTTTCGCTTTTTTCTGACAATTTTTCCTCACGCGTTTTTTAAACCGTTTTTATTTTCTCGCGTATTTTTTTCTTTTTTAATATACAGTAGAAATTTCTTTTTTTTTAAAATAGATAGATTAGAGATAAAGAAGAGATATAAACGGACTATCAAAACGACGAATAGAAATTAGATTTTTTTTCTGCCGCGCTTTTTCTGCCCTTTTTATTTTTTTTTACGAACGGTTTTTTTCGCTACTTACTTTCTTGTAGTGTCGGACCTTTCTAAATATAATAGGATTTGATTTTTTTTACCACGTCACATATAATTCCTTTTTCTTTAGAATCAGATAGTTTTTTTATTTTTTTGCCCTTTTTTTATAGCGTCAACGGAGTCGCATTCGTTTCGAATTTTTTTCCTTTTTTTGCCCCGCTTTTTTTTTTGCATCGGACAGATTTCTTTTTTTTTTTCGCCCCGTTTTTGTAACAGACCCGAATTCTAGGATTAAGGAATTTCAATTAAAACTAGTTGAAAGGAAAGTTCTTCATTTTTGTGAACCAAAAATTTTCATTTTTTTAAACCTAGGTGAACTTGATTTAACTCTTGCATGAATAAAATTTGAGGGCAAATTAAAAGTTTTCATTTATAACCTAGGACAAAAATGTAAACTTATGTGTAAGCATGCATACTCTCATAGGACATGTTTTCACTTGAGTCCTTCATATGCATTTGGATTTTCGATTTGCATTTCATAATAGGTCTCATGAATAATAACTAAGATCTAGATAAACAACGAAACCATTAGGGCCTAGTGCTAGCTAGAGGAAGTTAAAATATAAACCATACACCTTAAAATATATCAACATAGCTAATGTCAAGCCTCACTAAACTAATTTGGCTACTCATCTGAAATCATGTCATGAATATGGAAGTCTGTAAATAAATTAACTTATATAGAAAATATTCCACCTTAATTACCATTATAAGCATCCTCTTAATTTAATACTAAAGTAAACTTATACATAAATAGGTAAGAAGCTTATGACATGTGTAAGGTAAACTATAATTCTAACATATCAACATCACCTCAGATTAATAAGAGTCCAAATATAACTTTTATAAACATTTACATGCATTTAGGAAAGGGAAACACATATAAAACATAAGTCTTGCGAATTATCTAAAATAATTCGTGCAAGATAAAATCATGGAAAAATTCATGTAGGCTCTACTTAACATATACAACTCACTGTAATTTTTGTATAATTTAATAACTAAATTTGATACCTCAAATAAATCAGTCAAACCAGTCAAATAATAGACTAATTATAATTCCTAATCGGCTAAAACAATACTTTGTCTAAAAGTGCATTTAACTGCATGGAAGTGCATAGGAGAAATAATTTATTCAAATACTAGGTCAATTATTATAAATAAATATAATTTTCCAGAATTTATCTTCTATTTTTAGGTCTCCTAAAAATCCAAACTAGTTTCCAAATAGCCCCCTCTTCTCCTAATTTCTGTGAGTAATCTATCCATAATTTTTAAGTGCAACCAAAGAAAATGAAATCTAGGTATAATCATCTACCTCCAGTAAGTGTTAATCTGGTCCACACATTAAGTTATCATAAATTAAGTTATGAAACTATAAAGTTAGAGGAGGAAAATAATTCCGGAAATTCATCCAAAAACCAAACTCACCCATGTTTCTACCCACACCTCTCTCTACCACCTAGTTTACCACGACCTGGGCCCGCTTGGCAACCACTTGGGCTTGCCCTCTCCCTGTCCAACTCCTTTAACCGACCAGCAGGCGTGAGAGAGGGAGGAGAGGCGTTCTGGGCGCGGGCGACGCGTGTACTCGACGTGTCGCCGTCCTCAAAACGCCGAGCTCGCTTTCAACTCTTCCCAGCTGCATCGCCTCCTCTCCATTACAGAAGTATAGACCAAATCGAGAGAGACGGATCGCCTTGCCTCCGCCGCCCTCATCCTTGCCGTCGGCTATAAAGACGACGGCCGTTGCCGTCGCTATTGTGCCGCGGTCGTCGCCTTTCCACTTGCATTCCATTCTCAACTCTCTAAGCCGATTTCATTCCTCTAAGTTTCATCCCATTTGGTGCAGCGGATCGTCGGGAACGTGGACCTCGCCATCGTTGCTCCGGAGCGCGCACCGAGTGCCGCCGTCGGGTTCTCGTCGTCGTTCCGACTGCTGTAGACCAAGACAAGCCGAGCCCTCGCGCCAACATCTTCTCCTTGAAGTCCTCCTCAAAACCCCTCAAGAAATCCCAGGCAATGGCGCAGCAAGTGCGGAGATCGGCCACCGTCTTCTTCACCTCCGGTCGCCGTCGCCATTGTCGATTCCACCTCCTCCGGTGAGCCATTATTCGATTACTCGCGCGCACACCATCTCTCTGGCCTCAATAACCTCATGGACACACATGCATGATAGTTCTTGGAGCCGATTGAGCCGTCGCCCATCACTCCGCCACTCGGCGGCGGCAAGAACCTCCGGGGTGTCATCGCTATCTGGACCTCGCCAAGTTTCTTTGGACGCTCGGTAAGCATCCTAGGATCCCATAGAGGCACATGCATGTAGCTAAACATCTAGATCAATGCTCTAGCTCCACATGCACCGTCACCCGAGAACCACCGCCGCTCGCACAGCCGTCGCCATTAATTCCGATGAACAATGCTTGCAAGAATACCACCTATAGCCTCGCCTTAAACCCCTTTACATTTTCTCCATAGGTTTCACGCCGAGATCTACTGCCGTTTGCCACCGGCGAGCTCGAGAACGAGCTCGGCCATGGCTAGTTCTGTGTCAGCTCAATCCAAGGACCTCTGTTGAGAAGAATCAAAACTCTAGGTACTAGTTTGTAAAAAACTACCTCACACACAGAACAGTCACAGGACTGCGGGTTGATTTCCTGAAACACTAGGGGCCTTTTCGCATATTGGCTTGAGACTGACCTGTGGACCCAATCTATTTAAATTCTGGAAAAATCTAAATGAAATGCCTAAAGCTTTATATTTTCATCAGAAAAACATGTAAACTTGTAAAATCCTTAACAAATTGAAAACAACTCGTTTTAGAGTAATACAAAATATTGTTAACTCAACGAATCATGAAATTTAGTGTTATTGCATAAAAACTTGCACTCACAGTACAAATGTAGCCTCTAAAATTGGTCTAAGATAAATAATACATAAAGCATATACAAACTTATAAAATGCATACAAAATTCATTTCAACTCATTTTAGAGAAAACTTAGTTTCTACAGATCCACCAACATGTTCTCTAAAAACAAAGTAAAATAAAACATATACATACTTTACATCAAATGCCTCTAAAACTATTATCTTTAAAATAACTAGTTTTGCATAAGCTGAAATTTAGAAGTTTATATAAAATTCATCTTAGATTCTTTTTGAGTAAACTCAAGTTCTGTAGAATCATAGAGTTGTGCACTTCAATGTTATAAAATAAAAATACATACTTACAGTATAATAAAAACCCCTAAGCATTTATGTAAGGAATAAGCAACATGGAGTATACTTTAAATTGTAAAATTTGTAGAAAATTCATCTTTAGTCTAAATGAAGTGAACCAAATTTTTATAGAACCAGCAAGTAATATACTTCAACCTAGTAGAGTGAATTATGGCACCCTCTGTACAGACCATAACTCTAAACCTTAATTTGGTAGAATAGGTACTAAACACATAATAGTGGTTAAACAATACATATGAATAAGTATATATATGCATGGTAGCTCCAAATAAATCCAAATAAAACTTGTTAGGACCAGTGGAGCCATTGTTCCATCCCCATCTACCAAAACTTAGATGAACTTAGCTCATGCAACAATCTTTAGGTTGATAAGTTAACTAACATAGAACATCGATCTCTATTTATAAAATGTGTAGTAAAATAATATAAACTCTAAAATTATGAACTAAGATTAGATTAGTTAACTAAAATACTTATTTTATACAACACTAGCAAGTTAGAGCAGGTTCTGGACCTAAATCTCCAAAGCCATGTGCACATAGAGACTATATGCCTAGAACACGTTAAAACTTGTAAAATACATAAAGAATTCATATTAACTCTAAAAATTATGAAACCAATTGTGTTAGTCTTAGAAAACACATATATTTACCTCAGCAAACATAAAATTAATAAGAATCACCTTACAACAGTATTTCACAATAGTACCTAAGTAAATACTACCTATACCGAGCAAACATCTAAAATTCATAACTCTCAAATAAAAAGAGATAAAATATAAATTCTTTCACCTAAATTCATATTAGACCAGTACCTATCCATTGTGCACAAATCAAGCATTTTGGATTTTTCGCATATTTCGGTGTTTAATTGCATAACGTGTATTTTGTATAGATGATTGCTTAAACGGTGAAGAAGTGAATTAGGTGCTGACATTTTTCAGTTGCAAGGCAAGTCCCACCTCCCTCTCTTTGATCACTTTGAACCTATATTTTGGAGAACCTATGTTTTGGAGGTTATTGAAAATGTTTGCAAATCTTGCATGTCAATTGTACACTAATAAATTAAATTTTTGTTAAACTTGTTAGACAAATTCCTATTATTTGCATTATTACCATAACCCCACATATATCCATATCCCGCATTCCTAACCTTAGGAATCATATCCTAATACTAATTGGAATATGAGTTACATTGTCACTATTTTACTATATTGATTAGCCATGCTTAGAATGGTTTTACTTATCACATGGGCTCATATTAACATGAAAAATGATTTTATTAAGATTATGGACAGAGATGAATAAATGAAGTATTTGACAAATAAAATGATGGAAAACATGGATTTTAGGTTTGGGCATCATGTGGTACACATATGGTGATTAGTTGAGTACCGATAGGGGGAGTGTGTGCCCAAACCGACCTAAGGACTTTACTCAATTTCAGTTTATTTTGTATACAGTACAACCACATGTGCTAGTATGGGATAGCCCAAGCTTAGTAAATTATTTATGGTTTAGCCTTACATTCTAGTAGGCCGGTGTGTATGAGTTCATATAATTTAGAGGAGCTTCCTATTTACCCCGACGTGGTAGTTTAGGTGACTAAGCGTGTCCAATACAACGGTATTGTGCCACGTGGTGGGTTCCCGTTGTGTCCACCACCACGGCCTTAATTTTAAGGCGTGGGCCCGCCACTTAACGGTTCTAGGCCATATATCGAGTATGGCTTAGGATGGAGTAACACGTATCGTGCTGGTGTAAGGCTAAATCATGAATTTTGGAAAAGCTTTGTTGCGGGTAATAAATCGGGTACTTATGTATCGCGTGCCATGCTCTTGCATGATTATTATTTCACATCATGTGAGTAAAGTGTACAAACTCTGCAGAGTAAAAACTAATCGATTAGCCGTGCTCACAGTCATGAGCGGCATGTGGATATGTGTTGAGTATAGACTTGTGTTTATTCTTCTAAATGTTGAATTTACTTTCAAATTATGTTGAGATTTGATAATGATCTCCTTGCTGCCATGGATGGCAATGAGGTGCATATTTATACATGATAAATGCCTACTTTGATGCCCATATGCTAAGTACTAGCTTGCTGAAATTTATTTGAAAGCAAATCTAATTTGGAAATGTTTTATGCAAATAAAACATGCTTTATGCTAAAAGGAACCATATCATACCTTCCTTGATTATATGCCTTGCAAGTAGAGTGTTAGATTTGTCTTGGTTCTTGCCAGTACATTGTTTATTTAATAATGTACTTGACTCTTGCTATTGGATTAACTTTTGCTTGCAGGATTTAGACTTAGACTTTGAGTGATGCGAGTTTCGACTGCTTCTTCTAGGACTTGAACTTAATGAGGTAAACCTTTTACCCCTATGCCATTAAAAAAGTTGGAGGTTACATGTGTTCCACAAACAAGTTTTGAGTCACCTGTATGCCATGACACAAATTTTTGTTTACCTATGCGCCACTTTGGATGGAATCAGCACTAATGGAGACTAACAGAGGATTGAAAGATCTATTTTGCCCTTGCTCTATTTCAGCCACTTTGGATGGAACATTTGAAGAGACATCGGCGGCGTCGACGGCGGCGTCGGCGTGCCGGCGACGGCGACGACCGGCGGTGGCGTGCCGGCGAGGCGAGGTGGCGGCGGCGGCGGCTAGGCTAGGGCACTGGAGATTGCACGGGAGAGGAGTAGTAGAGATGAAAATGCTTTTGGGGCAATTTAGTCATTTTCATACGTGGGTCCCACATGTCAGAGCTCATTCTCTAATAGAAGGTGGATGGAATGGTAGACGGGTAAACGAAAGTTTGTGTCATGGCATACAGGTGACTCAGAACTTTTTTGTGGCACACGCATAACCTCTAACTTTTTTAATGGCATAGGGGGTAAAAGACTCACCCATAGTCGGTATGCTTGTGGATTGGGTAGACAAGTTTCCGTTGTTCTATTATTTATTTGGCTGGTCGGCCAACGTAACTTAAGTAGATGTAGTTTATAATCACTTTCGTCTTAATTGTGTTTGCTATGTATATCTATGCTTGAGATGAAAGTGTGAATCTAGTGCACATCCTGGGAGCTAGATTCATATGACTATGAGTTAAGAATATTTGAGATGTTGTAGATTTTTAGCCATTTTTGTCAAGTCTCCTGAGTGTGTAACACATCTGGTCGTCGTCTTTGAGTGGTTTGACGGTCACATCTCAGGCTGAAGTTGACTGGTAGGCTAAAGGCTTAGCAATGTCTCCAATATTCCTCTCTCGAGGCGTTAGATATTTCATTATGCTTGTTTGATGACTTAAATTATTCATTTCATCTCTCAATTATAATAGAAGGTCCGGAGAGCCTACGACAGTTTTTTTGGTCGGAATTTTTTCCCATTTTTTCACCCGGTCGATTTTTTTTATCGCGTCACATAAAATTCCTTTTTATGTGGAATCGGTCTGTTTTTTTAAAAATAAATTCGCCCTTTTTTTGCCGCGTCGACAGAGTTGGATTCATTTCGATTTTTTTTCCATTTTATTATTGACTACGTAACTTTTTTCTAGCACGTTTTCTTTTGCACCTTTTTTTGACATTTTTTCCTCACACGTTTTTATTTTCACGCGCGTTTTTTTCTTTTTTAATATACGGTAGAAACTTCTCTTTTTAAATAGTTGATTAGATTATATTAGAGATAAAGAAGATATATAAACAGACTACTAAAACGTAATAGAAATTAGATTATTTTTTCTACCGTGCTTTTTTCTGCCCTTTTTATTTTTTTTCCTCGTGTATTTTTTTTGCGAATGGTTTTTTTTGCCACTTTCACCTTTCTAGATATAATAGGATTCGATTTTTTTACCATGTTATATATGATTCATTTTTCTTTAGAATCGGACAGTTTTATTATTTTTTTGCCCTTTTTTTAATGCATCAACGGAGTCGGATTCGTTTTGATTTTTTTTCCGCTTTTTGCCCCGCTTTTTTTTTGGATCGGACAGATTTGTGTTTTTTTCGCCCCTTTTTTTATCGGACTTTTATTTTCTTTTTTCAACCGGTTTTTTCGCTCGGTTTTTTTCGCCTGGTCAATTTTTTTACCGTGTCACATAATTCTTTTTTCCGTGGAATCGGACAATTATTTTTTAAAAAAAAATTCGCCCTATTTTTACCGCGTCGACGCGATCGGATTCGTTTCGATTTTTTTTCCCACTTTTTTGCCCTGTTTTTTTGATCAGATAGATTTTTTTTCGCCTGGTTTTTTTTCCGCCCATTTTTTAATCGGTCTTTCTTAGCCCGGTTTCTTCGCTCGGTTTTTTTCACCGGTTTTTTAACGGACGATAGAAGTACCTCTTATTTTTAAATATATATGTGTGTGTGTGTCTATATGTACAACATATATGTATAAATTTTATGTATACACATATTTTTTATGTGTAAAAAAATATATGCACTTACTAATAGGTTGCAGACGGGCAATGAGTATCCACGTCGGAACAATTGGCCTCTGTTTCTCATTCGGCTCCTTAAATGACTCGCATGCAAAAATCCCTTTTTTTTTTAAACGGGACACTTAAAACGCCTGCACGTGAAATAAGGGTATTTTCGTATGCGGTGCTCTTAACTCACGCACATGCAAAAATGCACCTCCTCTTCCCACTCATTGTTTTATGAATAAATTGTGCTCGTGGTATATAAACTTTTATGGTGGGTGCAAATAGATACAACAACTTACAAATTGCTCATCCTGGTACAACAACTTGACTAATTTGTGCGAATTGGGCCAAAATTGTCAGTGCAAACCAAATCTTTGTAAAACATCACAAACTGATGGCATGACAGCTTACATATATGACCATTGTTTTGGATATCTTATTTAGAATCCAAGGAAGAAGAGAAATTAGATTTGTAATAAAAAAGTACTCATCAAAACGTACCATGTTAGATCAATTTTAAAACGTACCATGTTAGATCAATTTTGCTTGGAGAGATCGTTTTGGTCCAGGTTCGCACGGACTTGGCAAGTTGTTGTATCGAAATGATCAATTTACAGGTTGTTGGTAAATTTGTGGGTGATCAATTTACAGACTTGGTAAATTTGTGGGTGATTTTTAGATTTTTTGAGAATTTGTGGATGATTTTGCGATGTAAATGTGTGGATGATTTTTAGATGTTTCTATGAAGTTGCAAATGAATCTGTGATGTTGAATGATTTTGTTTGTGTGGATGAATTTGTTGTTGAGTTCGGTGCGAAATCAATATGAAAGTAGAAAAAAAACAATAAAAAAACGAAAAAAAGAAAGAGAAAGCGCCACGTGGCGCTTTTATTTTTACTCCCGATTGGTGACTTCAACCGGAACTAAAGAAGAGATCTTTAGTCCAGATTTTTAGTCCCAGGTATTTCAACCGGAACTTCGTTACCCGGGAATAAAGGATGTTACGAACCGGGAGATATGTGCATCTCTCCAATAGGGTTCCCACAATGGGCAAAACCAAATCGGATGCACACACGACAAGGAAAAAAACAAAATCCCACAGCTGTTCCAAAATTTCATTCCCAATTCGAAAACGAAATTATAACTGAAAGGAGAACTTGACAATTTAAATCAGACTTTAATCCACCCAAATAGAATCAGAAAAGAGATCCACGGAGAACTATAATCTAATGCTAATTCGATTTGAACTCAAGAACAGTTGAAACCAACCCCATAAATACTTCCACGGGCGGCTTTGACTTGAAGTTGCGAGCTCCAAGCGGCAGGGCACGGATCCATCGCCACGCCAGCCGCGTCGCTGCCCTCGATCCTCCCCACCAGGCACCAGCCTCGTCGCCGCCCTCGAGTCTCCCAACCGCTGGATCGGCCACCCACCAGCCTCGCCGCCGCCCGCGCGCCTTGGCTGTCGAAGCTGCCGCGGGGCCGTCACCGCCATGGCCACCTTAGCCATCGCCGCCATGGCCGCCGTCGCCGTGGCCGCCTTGGCCATCGCTGCCGCAGCCATGGTTGCCGTGGCTGAGAGAAGTAGGGAGTGAAGAGAGGAAACAAAGGACGGGAAAGGAGCGATCTGAGCCAGCCGTCGCGATGGGGGAGGGATTGGCGCTGGCGCAGCGCTAGAGGGAGAGGAGCACAGTAGAGACCTTCGCCTCAGGGGAGGGAGAGCAGCAAGCGTGCCGGGAGCCAGGGAGGAGTTCAAGCGCCTGCTTCTGCTGCTGCCGAGGCGTGGAGGTCGCTTGATGACTACTCTCGTTTCACGTTTCACGATGTAAGTCATTTTAGTATTTTTTATATTTATATTGATTCTAATGAATCTAGACATATATATCTATCTAGATTCATTAGTATTATTATAAATGTGAAAAATGCTAGAATGACTTACGTGAAACGGAGGAAGTAGAAAACGAGAATAGGAGAGAGAGAACGAGAAAGTTCTCGTGCTGGTGTATCCAACGCTTGTCTGAGTCTGACCGTCTATGCATAATCCATTAATACACTAATATCAACTGAAATGCTGAAAAAATAATTCCTAGCCACTTTATTAATGTGCCAATAATTCATCAATTGCAGCTACAAGCTTGGCAATATTATTATTTAGAGAAGAAAAATATCTACAATAATAAGACCGTGTTTGACATAGCTTAAGAACCAAAATTTTATGAAGTTGTATATTTCTAGCTCCACAAATTTATGGATCTGAATATATGATTCTGTCCATAACAATTAGATGGATTATTTAACGTACAGATTTTAAATTTAGTGTGGATCTGGGATCTCGAGTAGCCAAATGGATCTAAGGTTGATGCCTTGACAATTCTGAGCTGCCATGCCTAATGTTGACGTATGGCTACCAAATTAACAATTAAACAGATTTGTTCCTTGCTAAATGCTAACACTATCCAGACTAACCGCCTAAAGCAATGGATCACAATAAGTTAGTGTTGGAAGTACTATCTTCCCATTATTTTCTTCTTCAATTTCAATATTTCCCAAGGTAATATTTGCAAGAAAAAAATGTTACGTACTCCCTCCATTTTTTTTTATTTTACGCTGGTTTTCATAAAATAAAACAAAATGTAAAATAATTAATGACTTAACGTCAAACAGGGATAATATAATAACCTGTTCTGATTCCAGCTTATATCTATTTGTCACATAAATTTCCGTTCATTGTCCCCGTGCACAATCATCGAGCCCACATATCAATAGCATCATCACACAAACATATCTTTGTGGTCAAACTTATCCACAATAATATTAACTGGTGCAATACACGGGCGATGTGTCTTTTCAAAACATGAAAACAGCATATGTCATAACTAGAACTCCAAATATCTACTATTTTAAAAATTGAAGATGTTTTTGCTAGTACTTTGGTATGTCATCTGTGTATAAGTCGGTTTTTAAATTCATTTGCTTTTGAAAATACTGATCCGTATTGGAGTCGGGTTTTAAGTTCGCTCGCTTTTAGAAATACAGAAGGGGTCGCATAAGAAATCTCCTTAAAAAAAACTCACATGCAAACATGACATGATTTTCTAGAAAAATATATATCCAAGCAAATTCTCACAGTGAATTTTAGATGGAACAATAATAAGATTAAAATAGCCTACACCTGTTGCAACGCACGGGTGTTTTTTCTAGTATTATTAAAACTACAACAAATTAATACTTATGAATTTTGAGCCTAAAAATAATTGAGATTGCATGGTGTTACGAGAGAAGAAAGAAGATATAATTTGAACCATAGATCTATCATCCAAATGTTAAAAATAATTGGGGTGATGTGGCTCAACGAGAGAAGAGAGAAATATCATTACGGAACTGCTATTCCTTTGTCGACAGTTTTTTTTTGATTTTGCTATATATTTGTCGACAAATTTTTCCCCAAAAATTTGACAGATGTAATTACAGTACAATCGTAGTGTAATTACACTGTAACTTGTATGTAATTACACTGTAACTATAGTGTAACTTGTATGTAACTTTTAAAAATCTCTCCGTAACATGTTATTTCGGTAAAATGGAGGTCGTGGGAACAAATTCTTTCATATATGTGTGTGCTATGTTTTGTTTTCTTCCTCACCAAAACAAATCTTGTAATAGATCTAACGATTCAAAATTATGTGAAACTTACATATAAGTTACACTGTAGTTACATGCAA